TTAAGGAGAACTAAATTCATTTACAAGCATTGAATAGTCCAAATGCAAAAGCATGAAGAAAAATATCAAATGAAAACTTGCGGGTAATTAAAGCACAAATATTACTGCAGATTGAGAAAAATAATGAATAATACATTGGCAAGCACTTATGTGTTTTGGAATTCAAATTTTTTTAGTGACATGCAAAGACATTTAAAAGAACGATAAAAGAATGATAAAATCTGTTTATTACTGAGCGAGGCATATAATACCTTAGAATCAATGTATATAAGTTTAGTTCATGCCAATATGAAAGTCTTATAGGAAAGCCATACCATGGATTTGTATTTTTCTGATCTTTAAGTTTTTAAAAATTTCAAAGAGCCCTAAGATTTTAACAATGAGGGAGATAAATCCCAATTTTTTTTTTGTTCGCAAAACCAAGCAAAAGGAAACTAATGGAAGGGAATAGAGAAAGAAGATGAAATACCTACAACATTTCAAGCAATGGAATATCCACTTTTTTCAAACAGAACTAAATTTATTCACAAGCATTGAATAGAGATTATTCATGAATGCAAATCCTCTAATATATACATCTCAAACAAATAAGCAAGTTTGTTTTAAGATTTTTTTTTAAAAAGAAAAGAGAAAATAAACACCTAGTGATTCTCAATCTATAAGTATGAAAATCTCATAATCATTCCTTTAACAAATCTCATTATTCTCTCTATCAATATGCAAGATAAAGATACTTTGAGCAAAATTTGCAAAAAGCCATGAAAGTTTATACAACAATGAAAGCGGCATTTCGTATAGGGATGCTTTGATACGAATGAAGAGTGCAGGGATGCGAAGAGAAACGAGGAGGGATGCGCTTAAAAAGGAAAAGCAGGATTTTGATTCGCAAGCAGATGAGGATAAATGGTTTTAATAAAATGAATGATGGATATAAAGATTAATTTTTTTAATGGTCAGAATGATGTATGGTAAGAATCACAAGCTGCACTTTAATAGTAGTATATATATAAACCAAATACGATGATTAAAAAAAATTTCTATTAGAGTAAAATGTTTTTTTTTCAAATAAACATTAGTGATTATAATTATTTATAATAATAAATTTAATAATTTTTTTTTCATCTTAACAATAACAATATAATTAAAATATTTATAATATGAATTATTATTTTTAAATATTTAGCAACGTGCATTTAATGCATGGGCATTTTTACTAGTATAAATTCATAAAATGCAGCATATAAACACACCCGGCGTCAGTTTCCTTTCACAAAAAGTCATTAATTGTGGCATGAACAATGACAACTCTGCATTGACATGATAAAATTTTTTTTATATATTTAATTGATTCACTCATACTTAATTACTCCTAATTGCTCTTATTCAAACCCTCAGCCCTTATGAAAATCACATTATAAAAGAACAAAAGCCCCACAAACGCTTCTCCCCATGCTCCACCTCTTTTATTATACAAGACATGTATTTTTTTCTTTTATTTCTTTTCTCTTCAATTCTCTTTTCTTTCTTCTTGAAAATTAAAGTTTCATTTGGAGAGAATATTCTGTGTGGGCATCAGACAGGAAGAATCTTCCGGTTTTGTGTCTGTGAACAGTAAAAGAGCAGCTTCATAGAGACAAACCGAAGAGAGAGCTTCCGGTCCGGTGTCCACACGAAATCATTCATCTTTCATTTGAGACAACTTTCTTACTGTTTTGTAAATTGTTAAAGAGAATAATTTTTTAAAATTATCGTAAAAAGTATCTTCTTAGCATGAAGATTTTTTTTTAAATAATGAAAGAGCAATTGTCAAATAAAAATTATGAAAAAGTTATCCCAAATGAAATTTAAATTAATACTATTAGCTCATGATTATTTTAATTTTTAGATAATAATGGTGAGGAAGAAGAGGCAAAGTAAGAAAAGGCAAAGATTGCTATGAAGATGATAGAGAATGAGGCTAGAATGGTTTGTTTTCGAAGCGCTGGGCGGGCTTGTTGAAGAAGGCTACATAGCTTTGTATTCTATGTGGAACAGAGATTGGTATAGTGGTGTTCTCACCGACAGGTAACTATATAATGAAACGATTCCTCAGCGGCGGTGAAGTGGTGGGGCCATTGTGTGGGATGTTCGTTGAAGGCAAAAAATTGCTTCAACTAAACAAAGAGCACGCAAGTAAGTACGGTTTGTGTTCAGGATAGTCCACCTATTAAATTTAAAAAAAAAAGTAAATTTAGATTTGAGCCAATTTTTTTAAAATTATAATTTTTTAATATACTTATTTTTATATTTTAGAAATTTTGTTATTATACTATTTTAATCAAAATTTAACCATATTTTATATTAAATTTAATTTAAAATGAGTGTAATAAATAATACATTAATTAAAATGTATATTACATTAAATTATAAATCATATGATTTTAAAACTATTATGATAAAAAATTTGATCAATATATGATGATATGCAGAGTTAGTTATTTTCTTTTTTTGTAATTACCATGCTAATTATAAATATGCAGGTAGTTAATTTCAACAGCTATGTTATTTTGGATAATTTGAATTTAATCTTTTTTTAATTTATTAGTTTCAATGTCATATGCTCAAATTAGATTTCATAGTTGAAATTAGGTAACGGTTGATTTAAGCTTCCTTTGGAACAGCTTTTTACTGCTTATAAAAGCAACTTTCTAGTGCAAAACTTTTATTTTTTTACTAAAAAATTATTTTAAGAAACAATAAAAAAAGCCATCTCAGCCTTAGTTACAATGTCATATTAACAATTTGATTTATTTATTTTTTTGAACAGTTTACTATTAAAGTTTAAAAAATTTAGGATTTTTTTTGAACTCTTTTATTTTTTATAAAAACTATTATAAAATTACTATGAAAAAATATATTTTTAAAAAACTGTCATAGAAAGCAGCTTTTTATTACATAAATTTCTTTAAAATAATGAAAAAGTTGCGATCAAATAAAAATAATAACCCGTCCCAAATAAAATATTAATAAAGTGCAAGATCTTTAAAAAGTCAAGTGGTTAAATTAACAAATAAATTAATATAAATTCTTATAAGTTATATGCATGGTTGACAGAGAAGTTTGAGGAGGCGAGGAGAATGAGGGCAGAGTTGGAGGCAGAGTTTGTGACCCAACAGGGTGGTCAGATCTGCCGTGCGACATATAGGTGCATGAAATGGGTGCAGATGACCTAGAGAGCTTCAAAAAGCGGGTCGAGGAGTTGCGAATGGACGTTGCAAACAGACGCGAGGAGCTCAAGATTCTCTGCATGGATACGAATGTAACAAGGGGCGGCATTCCGCCACTGTTGGGCTATGGAGGTGGGTATTTCGGTTGGTATAATGGGTTATATTTGACACCGGATCCGGTCGGCGGGTTCTATGAACACGGCCAAGACATGAATATGGGTTTTTGGATTAGGGATAGTTAGTATAGTTGAATTTTAATAAGTTTTTAGCTTTTTATAGAATATTTTCTTTTGTGGCTTCGTAATGATTGGGAGTGCTTAATTAAGAAAATAATGTATTAAACTTATTAAGAATGTAGAGAATAAAATCTTAATATCAGCATATCCAAGTTAAATTTTACTAAGATAAATTTAAAAATAAATTTATTTTTAAATGATTATAATTAGAGTTTTAAATAAATATTACTTCCAACTTTAGCTTGAGTCTGATTAATCAATTATAAAAAGATAAAATGAAAATAAAATTTTTTAAAAAATATTAAAAATTATAAGATAAATAATAAATAACCAATTGATATGACAATATGAGATTTGATACATAATATATTTTAAATGTATTTTATATTTATAATTTTAAACTAGCAAGTTGAGGAGAGGCGAGGTTAGCTCAAGCTTGATCGTTAACTCGTTGAGCTTGATCGATCACAGACCATTTATAAAGCTGAGCTCAAACCAACTCATGAACCGATCTTATTCATATATATTTTTTCAATAAAATATCAAAAAAAAAAATAACATACAAATTTTTTGATGGATTATATAAATTTTTTGAATATATATAAGATTTATACTTTAAATGTTCTTATATGTGTTCCAAAATGCATATTCAATTGATTCTGATCTTATTTTTATATGTACGAATTTACTATAAAAATTACGGCATGTTTTATGTACCCTAAACCTTAAACAACAATCTAATGTGAGATGTCTAAATATATAACATGAAAGTATTTTTCTAAAATTCCTTAATTGTCCATTTATTTCTAAGATTTTTTTGACTAATTTAACAATATTCTTTAATCCTATAATTATATATTTAATTAAGCAAATTTAATTATAATTACATAAGCTTAACTTCAGCCTCCAATCACGCAGCCATAAACAACATGATTGTGTAATTAATGGAGTTCTTATAGAAAGAAGTTCTATAGAGTATTAATGTCAGTGATCATAAATAAATAGAGAAATACAAGCAAGATGTCAATATAGGCTGCAATTTAAAGATTTATTGCTCACTCATACTTAATTACTCCCTAATTGCTCTTATTCGAACCTTCAGCCCGTTTCCCATTTAATTAGAAATTCAAATTACTCCCTATTTGACTGCAATTTAAAGATCTATTAAAGTGAAAAGATATGAGTAATAAATCTCTTCTAATTAAATTGATCTTAATTATAAAACTATTTAAAATCTTTCCTATCTCTCTCCTCCCATTAATTTTTCCCCACTATTACTAATAATTAAAACTCTTTCTAATTTAGTTCCCTTTAATTTTGAAAGTTATTTAAATTTATACTCATTTGAATTTAAATTAAACAATCAAGAAATTTGTACTATTAGATTTCTTCATTAAATTTTATATATAATAAAAAAATTTATTTACACTTAAAATTTTTTAATAAAAACAAAAGAAAAAAATAGTGATTTCTTCTCTCGAATCAAACAAGAAAATTTTTAATGTGTATGTAATTCTAACCATATCTACAGTTGTGTTTGTTCAGCAAAAAGGTAAGCATGATGAACAAGAAGCAAAGCATTACGCGCCAGAAGATAGAGATAAAACCGATAAAGAAAGATGAGGCGAGAAAATTATACTTCTCCAAACGCCGCAACAGGCTCTTAAAGAAAGCCAACGAGCTCTCGACTCTTTACGGTGCAGAGATATGTATCATTGTCTTCTTCCCAACCGGAAATGCATTCTCTTTTGTCCACCTGTCAGTTGACGTCGTCGCCCACCGCTTTCTCGCCGATGCACTGGCATTGCCCTTATTATGCAAGCCATTTATTGCCGCTGCAGCGATTAAACTGAACGAGGATTATGCGCAGCTGAACGTTTTGCTCGAGAAGGAGAATATAAGGCATGCTAAGCTTGATGAGGCATTGACAGCGCTACAACTTGGTGCCAATAAGCCTTTTTAACGAAACGGAGAGGTTGAGTCGATGAGGTTGAAAAAGCTAGAGTTACGTGGTCAGTTAATGCAACTGAGAAGTTATGTTGCCGACCGAGCTAATCAATTTCTAGCAAAGCAGCAAGCATACCAATGTCTGCTTCCGCAGTCTTCCTCTATGTTAGGCAATAACAACTTTGATGATAATCGCTTATTACTGGCTTCTCCCTATAGATTTGAAAATCGCTTTGGATACAATATTGATGACTTGACGTTCTGCAGCATCAAGGCTGAGATGCAACCGGACATTTATGGGCAGCTGCTGTCTTCCTCTCTTCAGCCATATGCATCTACGCGCTTTGGTATTGATCATTATGGGTCGCCGTGTTATGTTTCTTAACCGTCATATTCACCGGTAGCAAGATGAAAGCTTTTGATCAGATTTTTAGGAAATTATTGGTTTTCGCATGATGAAAAATTACTAAATTAGTTCATATCCATTATTCTTCTACCATTACAATTTTTATTGTGAAAATATCACAATATTGATACCGTGAACATGCTATATTTTGTCAGGACGATTTGTTGATTTTTTATTTTGTGGTTGAAAGATCAACAAATCGTCCTGACAAAATATAATATGTCCAAGTTACCAATATTGGGATCTTTTACACAGTAAAAATTATAATAGTAGAAGAATATGAGGTATGAACTAATTTGTTAATTTTCCATAATGCGAAAACTAACAGTTCCCTAAAAATCCAATCAAAAGATCTCATCTTGCTATCGGTGAATATGTCGATCAAGCAGCATAATACGGCAGCCCATAATGATCAATACTATAACGCACAGGTGCATGGGGCTGAAGAGAGGATGCCAGCTGCCCATAAATATACAGTTGCATCTCAATCTTGAAGCTGCAGAACATCAAGCCATCAAAGCTGTCTCCAAAGCGATTTTCAAATCCAGGGGGAGAAGCCAGTAATAAGCGATTATCACCAAAGCTGTTGTTATCCGGCATGAAGGAAGACTGCAGAAACAGACGTTAGTACGCTTGCTATATTGCTAGCAATTGATTACCTCGATCGGCAACAACGCTTCTCAGTTGCATCAACTGACCACGTAACTACTCCAGCTCTTCCAACCCTATCAACTCAACCTCCCCGTTCAGCTAAGAAGGCTTATCGCACCAAGTTATAGCGCCTTCAAGACCTCATTAAGCACAGTGTGCCTCATCTTCTCCTTATCCAGCAAAGCGTTCAGCTACGCGTAATTCTCGTTCAGCGTAATCGCTGCAACCACAACGAAGGGCTCGCATAATGAGGGCAACGTAGGCGCGTCAGCGGGGAAGCGGTGGGCAACAACGTCAACCGACAGATGGCCAAAAGAGAAGGCTTTCTGGTTGAGGAGAATACAACGATACATATCTCTACACGGTAAAGAGTCGAGAGCTAGCTGACTTTTTTGAAGAGTCTGTTGCGGCATTTGGAGAAGCAGACTTATCTCGTCTCCTCTTTCTTTATACGCTTTAGCTCTACCTTCTAACGCCCAATGCCTCGCTTCTTATTCATCATACTTACATTTTTGCTGAGCAAACGCAATTGTAGATATGGTTAGAATTACATACAAATTAAAACTTTTTCTTGTTGGATTCGAGAGTAGAAACCAACATTTTTATTCTTTAGTTTTTATAAAAAAAAAAATTTAAGTGTAAATAAATTTTTTATTTTATATAGAATTTAATGAACAAATATAACAATATAAATTTCTCAATTGTTTAATTTAAATACAAATAAGTATGAATTTAAATAGCTTCCAAAATTAAATGGAGCTAAATTAGGAAGGAGATTAATTTGGAGCAGTAGTGAGGAAGAATTAATGTGAGGTATGGAAAATTTTAAATTGTTTTCTAAATAAAATCAATTAAATTAAATGAGATTTATTACTCATATCTCTTTCAATTTAAAAGATCTTTAATTTGCAATAAAGTAAAAAGTGATTTTAAATTCTAATTAAATGGGAAAAAGGTTGAAGGTTCGAATAAGAGCAATTAAGGAGTAATTAAGTATGAGTGAGCAATAGGTTTTTAAATTGCAGCATACATTGAAATATTGCTTATCTTTTTTTGTTTATTTATTATGATCACTTATATGAATATTTTACAGGACTTCTTTCAATAAGAACTTCATTAATCACAAAATTTTGGTGTTTATGGCTTCGTGATTGAATGCTGGAGTTAAGTCTTTGTAATTATAATTAATTTTGAATAATTAAATATATAATTATATGATTAAAGAATAACGTTACATTAGTCAAAAAAATTCTTAAAAATAAATGAACAATTAAGAAATTTTAAAAAGATACTTTTATGTCATATATTTAGACAGCTCACCTTAGTTTATTGTTTAGGGTTTATGGTACAAAGAACATGACGTAATTTTTATAATAAATTCGTACATATAAAAATATGATCAAAATCCATTAAATATGCATTTTGGAACACATATAAGAACATTTGAAGTAGAAATCTTATATATATTCGAAAAATTTATACATCTCTCAAAAAAATTATATGTTATTTTTTTAGAAATTATATTGAAAAAATATATATGAGTAAGGTCGGCTCATGAGTTGGTTTTAGCTCAACTTGATAAATGGCTTGTGATCGACCTCAACAAGTTAACGATCAAGCTTGAGCTAACCTCGCCTCTCCTCAACTCGACATTGAGCTTGCAAGCTGACCAGTTTAAAATTAAAAATATAAAATACATATAAAATATATTATGAATCAATTCTCATCTTATCATATCAAGTGATTATTTATTATTTATCTTATAATTTTTAATTTTATTATCATTTTTATCTCTTTATAATTGATTAATTAGGCTCAAACTAAAGTTAGGAGTAATTTTCATTTAAAACTCTAATTATAATCATCTAAAAAAAATTTATTATTAAATTTATCTTATTAAAATTTAACTTGAATAGTCTGATATTAAGATTTTCTTCTCTATATTTTTCATAAGCTTAATGCATTATTTTTTTAATTAAGCACTCCCAATTAACACAAAGTCACAAGTTAAATTATCTACCTAATAAAAAGAAAATAGTCCATTAAAAGTTAAAAGCTTATCAAAATTCAAGTATACCACATATCCCCAAACCAAAAACCCATATTCATATCTTGGCCGTGCCCATAGAACCAGCTGACCGGAGCCGGTGTCAAATATAACCCCATTATACCCACCTCCATAGCCCAACCGTGGCATAACGCCGCCCCTTGCCACCTTCGTATATATGCAGAGAATCTCGAGTTCCTCAGGCATGTTTTCAACCCCCTCCGTAACTCCTCGAGCCACTTCTGGAAACTCTCTAGCTCCTCTTCACTCATTTCATGCACCTCCATGTCGCACGGTAGCCCCGACCTGCCCCGTTGGGCCACAACCTCTGCCTCCAACTCTGCCCTCATTCTACTCGCCTACTCTAACTTCTCCATCAATCCTGCATATAACTTTTAAAAAATTAGATTAATTTATTTGTTAATTAAATCACTTGACTTTTTAAAAATCTTATACTTTATTAATATTTTATTTGGGATATTTTATAATTTTTATTTGATCGTAATTTTTTTCATTATTTTTAAGAAATTTGTGTTAAAAAGCTTATTTCTATGATAGCTTTTTAAAAAACTATTTTTTCATAGTAATTTTATAATAATCTTTATAAAAAATAAAAGAATTCAAAATAAATCCTAAATTTTTAAACTTTAACAGTTAATTGTTCAAAAAAATAATAAAGTAAATTATTAATAATGACATTGAAACTAAGACTGGGACGGCTTTTTTATTTCTTCTTAACATTTTTTTTAATAAAAAATTTAAAATTTTTGTACTAGAAATCAACTTTATAAGTAGTAAAAAATTGTTCCAAAGGAAGTTTAAATCAGTCGTTACCCAATTTCAACTATGGAACCTAATTTAAGCATATAGCATTGAAACTAATAAATAAAAAAATAGATTCAATTCAAATTATCCAAAATAACATGATTGATGAAATTAACTAACTGCACATTTATAATTAGTATGGTAATTACACAAAAGGAAAATAATTAACTCAGCATGTCAACATATCTTGATCAAATTTTCTATCACAATAAATTTAAAATCATATGATTTATAATTTAATGTAATATACATTTTAATTAATATAGCATTTATTACACTCATTTTAAATTAAATTTAATATAAAACATATTTATATTTTGATTAAAATATTCTAATAACAAATTTTCTAAAATATAAAAATAAGTATATTAAAAAAAATTGACTCAAATCTAAATCTACTTTTGTTTTTAACTTAGTAAGTGGATTAAGTCCTAAACACAAATTGTACTCACTTGGGTGCTCTTGATTTAGTTGAAGCAATCTTTGACCTTCAACTAACATCCCACACAATGGCCGCACCACTTCACCGTCGCAGCCGCTACCGCCACCACCGCCGTCGAGGAATCGTTTCGTTATACAGTCAAACGAAGGGTGGTCGAACGAGAAAGGCGTACCTGCCGGTGAGAACACCACTATACCAATCTTCGCCCCACATAGATAGCCTTCTTGAATAAGCCCGCCCGCCGTTTCGAAAAACAAACCTATCTAGCCTCTTCATTCTCGATCCTCTTCATAGTAATCTTTTGTCTTCCCATACTCTGCCTCTGCTTCCTCATCATCATCATCTAAAAAAATAAAATAATCATGAGTTTATAATATTAATTTAAGTTTCATTTGGGATAACTTTCTCATAATTTTTATTTGACCATTGTTCTTTAATTATTTAAAAAAAAATCCTACTAAGAAGATACTTTTTACGATACAACAACAACAACAACATCAAGCCTTTGTCCCACAACTAATATTATGGCTTCCATAATCGACCTACCTGGCACGAATCTAAATTGATTTTGAGAAACATTAGTATCACGCCGCAACCTATGTTCTATAACTCATTCTCATAGTTTTAAAGTATGACACATGAACT